AAAATGTCATGGAACTGAAAGCCAAGAAATGTATTATGGTTCCAATTTTACTCTTTAAACCGACTAGTTATTTGACATCAGAGCACACACCAATCTCTCTAAGCTTTCACTTGGTCATTTGTAAAATAATGCTAATTGTATAGAAAAGTGTTATTATGAAATTCTATAGAATTGTCTATTAGAAGACCAGCTTTTCACAAAGTTTCTCTAAAAGGTGCTAACAATTCTTTTGAGTGAAGGGAGGTTTCTTTGCTGTAAGACTTCTAAATGATATTAAAATTCTCTGTTGCCTACTCAACAGCCCTCTGCATCCCTTTCTGCCCTATTAGCATAACCAATCATATGTGTTCAAAGAGTGGATGTGAATAAATTAGAATAGCACCCAGAACTTAGGTGCCCAATAAATGTTATTAACTAGAATCAAATGTCTGCTGAAATTCCAAAATGTGTTAAGTACCATAGGGTTCTGCATATAAGACCTGGAAAATTCCTAAACTAGATGATTCTAAAGTCTAAACGACCCTGTGGATATGATTCTTTGCTTTTCTATCTGGTGTTTGTTTGACCGTCCCTTTTATTAAATAGATTCTCAGGTTAGCAATCCTTAGTCTACACAGTAAAATGCACTGGTCAACTTCAGAAACATTAAAATCTTGAAGTGCTAGAAAGATTTGCTAGGTAGGGCTGAGTCAAAACTTAGTCATTCAGCATTACATTAGAAAATCCATTAGAAAATAAATGATAGGAAATAATTTAGATGAATGAAGTTGGAATTATGTGGTAGCCCACTTGATTTAACATTTGTCTTACAAACTAAAAATTTTAATATGTACCCCATTAGCTTACATAGGGTGCATGACTATGAATTCCTTTCTGTCAGTAGAAAATTTATTCATCTTTGTATCCCTTATTGAATAATTAAGAAATAGATTTATGGCACATTTACCATACTGTCTTGAAGATTTGGATGAAGTTTCACAAACAAGGTCATGTTTGAAATTGAGTTTAAAGGTGCATACAATTTCACCAAGTTGAAAAGAGGCAAAGGAAAGGAAATTCTAACTACAAAACAGAAGTTTGAAAGAAAGTAGCAAACAGTGAATGGCAAGCCATTTCTGGGGTTTCCCAAGTGACTCAGTGGTAAAGAATCCATCTGCCAATGTAGGAAACACAGGGGACATGGATTTGATCCCTGGGTTGGGAAGAAGCCTGGAGGAGGAAATGGCAACCCACTCCAGTATTCCTGCCTATGAAATCCCATGGACAGAGGAGCCTGGTGGTTTACAGTCCACAGGGCTGCAAAAGAGTCAGACATGACAGTGACTAAAAACAACAAGTGGCTTCTGTTAGCTTGAGTCCCTGAAAACAAACTTTCTGCATGTTCTCTGTATAAGTTATTTCATCTTGGGAGATGAAGAAAAAAAAAGGTAGGGCCAACCACTGTCTGCATGTATGTGAGGAAGGTTGTGAATCTTTAGTAGGATACTGTAGATGATGAACTTGTATTGGAAAAAGAGATATAAAAATTATACTGCATGTTGAGTACATTTTTATTTCAATATCAGTAAAACCTACACTACTGGTAATTCAGTTCAGTTCAGTTGCTCAGTTGTGTCCGACTCTTTGCAACCCCTTGAATCGCAGCACGCCAGGCCTCCCTGTCCATCACCAACTCCCGGAGCTTACTCAGACTCACGTCCATCGAGTCGGAGATGCCATCCAGCCATTTCATCCTTTGTCGTCCCCTTCTCCTCCTGCCCCCAATCCCTCCCAGCATCAGGGTCTTTTCCAATGAGTCAACTCTTCACATGAGGTGGCCAAAGTACTGGAGTTTCAGCTTCAGCATTAACAATCACCAATAAAGAGAAGAACGTATTGTTTCCCAATATCTGTTAAACTGTGTCTCTTTAAGTAACAATAAGCATGTGAACAAATCATGGTTAAATTCCCCATTGTCAAGAATGGATCTCAAGAGTGAGAAAACTCAGGAGAATCAGCCCTACGTCTGCTGTACCAGCCTGGGCCAAGGAGTCCCATGCGAAGTAGAACCAGTTCCAGAAGCCTCTGAGAGCTGAGTAGGGAGCATAGAGGATGGGCTGGGGGTTGGCATTTTATTTGCCTTCCATGATGATGAATACTTAGAACACACTTGCTACTCCTCCTCCTCCTAGAGCCCTCCCCCCCCTGCCCAATTCGTCTTCTAAACAAGGGCTCAGGGTGGGCCTGGCAGTACAAGCAGACCACCCCTCAGAAGAGTTCCTCATGGACCCTGCATCTGCTCCCAAGTAGAGCCCCCATCCCTCTGTGCCAAGCCATAACCACACCCTGCCCTGAAGACAGGGAAGGGAAAACAGAATGGGCAGATACCAAAGCTGGTGGCTTGGCTTCAGTCTTTTATTTCTCTATCTGAGAAACACAATGATCTTTTTTTTTTTGCTTTGCTTTTAAAATTCTAGAAATGTAAAGTGCAGGGTCTGAGAGAACCATGAGAGTAGACAAGGGATGATTTCTTCATCATTCATCCTTGCCCAGATTTCTCCATCTAATTCCAAGGGACCATCTGTATCAGCTCGCTAACGAGTTTGGACACGGTCCTCCTCACAGTGGGAAGCTGCTGCAAGTAGTTTAAACAGAGGAGTTATCTAATCAAATTTGTGATTTAGGAAGGCCACTCTGGAGAGGCAGGGATTGGGGAAAGCAGGTGTGGTACAGAAAGAGGTCAGTCTGAGGCCTCTGCAGTATCATGAGCCTACTGCAGATCGATGTGAAAGCTCTGGCCTGCTTCAGTGCTCCTGGACATGAAGGCTAAAGAAAGTGCAGATGATGAGAAAAAAAAGGAGAAACAGGCGCCATCTCCACCGTTTCAGACTGAATGGCTGGAAGGCAATACTGACCACCCAGCAGTAAAGGCTGGCCAATTTCACCATTTCATCTATGACACTAATTGAGATGGGATTTGACGCCAAGGGGTTAAGCATTTTCAGGATTTGGCATATATTATCAATACATTCTTTTACAAATAGCATATGAAAGACAGCACAGCACAATTATTCCTGACCTGGAAACAGCAAGGGTTCAAATCCTAAGTTCGCCACCTAACAGCTATGTGACTTTGGAGGAGTTACATAACTGCTCAATGCCTGTTTCCTCATCTCTTAAATAAGGGAGATAATAGAACCCAACTGAGTATCCTGAGGCTGGAATAAGTTGACAGGAGTACAGGGTTTAGAATACTTGGTGCATTGCCTTGAGGTCTGTGCCTAGAATATAATTACCACTGAATATATATTATTCTCTGTGTCTGATCCAAAATGAGTATTGAAGAAGCAGAAAGTCCACTTTCAAAGATATGGAATTTCAACTTGCTTTTCTTTCTACATTGAACATTGTATTGCTCAGATGGTTCAATAAAAGAAGCTGAAAAAGCTAAAGAAAAATAACTTTTTTTTAACCTGAGAAAGCTCATAAGAGAAAGGTGAAAAAACAAATTCTCAGGCACAGGCAGTACTCTGAGGTTGAGACTTTTGAAGACCACAGAGCTTGCTTATAAATAGAATATTAAAAACAAGCAAGAGCAATTTTCTCCTTTTGTCTTCCCTTATTGCCTAATTTTCCTCCCATACTATTTGCATAATGGATAAAAAGGCATCCATTATGCAAATGAACGATAGGGCTGTGAGGTTGCTGAAGCCACAAACCTAGCTCCAGATGAAAAGAAGCTGCCACTAAGCCCTTCAATGTCTGCAGTCCAGCAGAAATTGCTCTGCTAGCTTGGTTTCCAAAAGATAGAGGGAAATTATGAAGATGACAGGTCATTCATTTCCACTTGGTTTATTTTAAAAGGGGTACTATAGATGCTTTCCAGAAAATCAGTACAAAATATATAGATACTTAGTATCCTGGCATGTAAAATAAACTTTACAATATATTTTGTTTCAAATGGCAAAAATTACACTATGCACAGTCTTTACAATTTTAAGCATATGCTTTGCATAAAAACAACCTCTGTTCTAGCTTTAGAATTAACCTATAACCGGTGTTTGGAGTGTTCGCAAAATGTATGCATACATTCAATACGAATAAAAAGTGGTTTTAAGTAACACAATATTAGTGGATTTTCAAAACTTTATGCTTTAAACTGACCTAAAATTATCTTTAAGAGATATTACCACAATTGACATTATTTATCTTGGAGTCAGAAATTCACTAAAATTTTAGAAGAATGTTTATTTTCTCTTTCTACCAACACCTTCAAAACAAATGTAACAAATGAGCATTCTGAACAGAATCACTTGCCTGGAATAAATCAGTAGGACAGAAATAAAAAACTAACTTCAAAATGTTTCTCCCCAAATCTTGAGATACACAGTTGGTGGAGAAGAAAGTGGCTAAAACAGAAAGTGATCTTTTATCTCTAGCCTGGAATCCTTGATAACGCTTAGGTTTTTTTCCAAGCAACTTTTTCCTCAGGGACTTTTAAACACATTTAAGTGGTCCTCACATGCTATGGGCTTCCCTGTTGGCTCAGATGGTAAAGGATCTGCCTGAAATGCAGGAGACCTGGGTTTGATCCCTGGGTTGGAAAGATCCCCTGGAGGAGGGCAATGGCAACCCACTCCAGTATTCATGCCCAGAGAATCCCTTGGACGAGCCTGGGGGGCTACAGTCCATGGGGTCACAAAGAGTCGGACATGACCGAGTGACTCAGTACACATAGCACATATATGCTATCGATGAAGCTCCTCATTTACAGTCTAACTCCTCCCCTGTCAGTTCAAGGATATGCAATTCAGATTCACCTGCAATTCAAGAAGAAACTGCATCCATTGCTTGAGCATCAGCAGCTGTAAAGATCTATGTAAAAAATAATTTAGAGAAAGACAGTCCACATTTAAAGGCAAACATTAACAGGGTCAGTCATAAAGTGGAAGCAACTCATAGACAGCAAGATGATGTATTTCAACCAGATGAAAAGCAGATGACTTAAAAAATGCACCTACCTAATTTCAGAGCAGAAGGGGTTACTTCAATTTCCCCACCGACTGGTTTGAACGCAGCCAGTTGGGCAGCCACTTCCGTCTCAAAAGCATCTGGGCTCTGCCGGCTTGCGGGGTTTCCACTGGGGCTCTCAATCTTGTGGAGTGCTTCTTGCTCGTCAAACACAGCAATCAGCTACAAACAAATCCAGTAACACTAATTACTTCGTAGGACACGCATATCACATGGACACTATCTAGCTGGTTGTGATCTTTATTTCCTTTTTTTTTTTTTAAAAGACCTCTTAAAACTGAAAACTTTAATGTTACTGTATCACAACTCTTAATTCAATATCATGTCTGAAGGGGTCACGGTCAGGAAATAATTAACAGTTTGTTTGTATATTTCTGGACTAGAGATCCAGTTCTGGTTAAACTTCTGGAAGGAATGAAATGGCCCACTCCTCCCCTCACTTTCTTTTCTAATGTGCCTAACAGGACATTAGTATCTCTTTGTTTTAAGAATATTGTCAAACATGAAAGCTGAATATGCAGAATGTGAACAACAGACTTACACGGTAGAAGAGAACATTCCAGTGTCAAAGAGCTACAGACATGGTGAAACTGTTAACTGTCCTTTTAGACACAACAATAATAAACAGAGTCATACATACATGTGTATGTTATACACAATCTGTGCTTATCTTGTACACGTAGTTTTCCCATTTGTATTCATGCCTGTAATTTTGGTCTTTTCCTTCATGACTAACTCCATGTTGACTGGCTTAAGTCCAATGAAACTAAACATCAGGGCTTTAATCATCCCAATCTTCATCTCAAATCTATTTCATATAAGAACTAGGTGTCTCATCATTACTATAAAAACCAATAATTGTCAGTCTCCAAGTCATTTGTTTTACAATATGGGCAACATTCAATAATCAAGTAATTGTGCAAACATTACTAGATAAATGGCAAAGACAGCCCCGAATGAATCTACATTTTTGGCCAGCAAACAGCACCATGATAGAAATGTCCAATGTTTCTCATTGGACAAGTGGAAAAGTCCAAAGCTGATGTGGAAAAGTTCAAATGGGAGTGCAGTAGGTGGCTCAGGGAAGTTACTGTCAATCCAATAAAATGCAGTCTACAAAATGCAAATCTAGAAAACTGCTAGTAAATCTTTAGGTATTTTCATTCATTAAATAAAACAAACCTGCTTATCATTCAAACATTTTTCAGGTAAGGCATTTAAAGCCCCATTCATAGGGAACCTTGTTGGCAATAGTATTAATAACACCAGTGCAGGGCTAACCAATCAAAACATCATAAACTCAAGTTCAGTCTTTCAAAAGAAATGAATACAATTAGGGCTATGCAAATTGGCTATTCAAAAATAATTTTCATAATTGACTACTCATTTCCAGTATGGAGACTTCTTTAATTGGAAAACCCAACAATCCTCTCACCACAGGAAAAAAATGCTACTCCCAAGGCATTATTTTTAATTCTTGAAATTGAGCACATACATTTTCTATTTTTAATTGGTAGCACTGATGAACCGATTTGAGATAAGACTTAAATGGATTAATAATGAAAGATTATTCTAGTATAAAAATAATCAGGAGAACTATATCTTTCTAATCATCTGGCCAAAATGAAGAGTTTAACACTTTAAATCCTGAAAAGAAAAATAAAACCAACTTTTAAGCTGTGATAGAAGTGCTATTTTCATCACTATTCTGGTGACATGATTTCAAGTTTTGCATGTTGGTGAATTCTATCTCATACTTGTAATATTCATTTTAATATATTAATCAACAAGGCAAAGTGGCTTATTTTACTGGTACTACAAACAGTTTTGCGTAAGTTTTTCTTCTTGCTACACCTTTAAGTCTTAGTGTATCCTATGCACCTAAAGTGATGGGGAAAAGAGACACAGAATACCAATCAGTAGTGTAATCCAAAAGCTTCAAATTGGTAACTCATAAATAAATCATTATCTATGTCTCTTACATAACCACCTCTCCTTAAGCTTCTTCACTGTTTTCCATATTATTATTATATCCACACTAGGTCACAGCATACATAGTAACAATTCTATACCTGTTTGCCTAGTGGGACCACAGGGTAGAGAAGAGATTTTGGTTCCCAAAGTGACAAACAGTAATTTGCACTAGGGGCCATTCCACCAATTCAGACCACACTGTAAGCATTTTCTGAAATGAAAGCTGTAAGAAGAGAGGCTGCCTTATGAAATATCTGCAGTTTGTCCAGGATGATGCTATGCCCTGAAGAATGTGTATTCGACTCTTTAGAGATACAGGCAACACATGGCTTTCTCAAAGATGATAACAGTGAGACCTGGAGGCTCCCCAACTCTCATCAACTCTCTGATTTATTAATTGCTTAGTCTGTCTCCCAATCCCATGATTGACAGGAATTATCTGTGCAAACCCTCCTCTGGATTTCTGTATAAATGGGTGAAATAAAGTCTCTCCTCCTGGAAAGAAGAGAATCAATTCCTGAATCTGTGGCATCCAGACAAAGCCACTGGCACTACAGGTGCTGGCTGATAAGAGACCCTCCATTCAGTCTTCATCTCAACAGCTACAATACACCCCATTTTAGACTTGCTTCCGCATTGATAATCAATTTAAACTCTATGTTGTAGGTCTTTGTTAGCTGGATTGCTTGATTCATCAGAACACCTACACTACTGGTGACCCAGTTCCTGGTGACAGTGTTACAGAGATACGTTAATTAATGTACACCACTGTTCTAGTCCTCAACAGAAGGCAGACTGACCTTCAAATTATCCAGTTCATGAAAAAGGCCTTCCTCCACCATTGAACCCATTCAAAATGACTTTTCCCACAGAGATGACTTGAACATTAAAAGGTGATTTATATTTTTATTAAAAACAATTCTGTAAAGATTCCATTTAGACTAAATTTCTGTGGCATGTGGAAGATTTTTCCACCAATAGCATAGAGACTGCAGTAATCTACACTTTATGCAAAATGCAAGTAGGCAGTATTTAATTAGGAAGCCGTCCTCTTCTGCTGCTTGATCCATCTTCTGGGGCCCCGTCTGCTCTCCTTCTGCGATGCCAGTATTCTCATGTCATCCAGTCCAGCACTGACATTTCCCTAACACCCCATGGTCCAGAATGATATGTTCAAACAGACTTGACTTCCAATCAAAACTCCCATCCCTGCAGATCTCTCTCAGCATTTAGGCATCTAATCCCCAGATACACACAAGAAGGTCAGTCTACAAATATGCTATTAACTTTTCCATCAAAAAAACAAAACAGGCTTTTCAGGACTCACCCCTACAGATACCACCCTATTCCTCACTTTCCATCTAAAGCAGAATTTGAAAGTTGTCCACAGAGCAGTCTCCAATCTCCACCCTCCCATTCTCTTCCTGAGGCCACTCCAGCCAAGCTCTCACCCCTCTCTTCCACTGAAACCACTCTTATCAAGATCAAAAACAATCTCTACAGTGCCAAATTCAAAGTCATGTCTCTGGTTTGATTCTAGGACACAGTTGATTATTGCTTCCTTTTTAAATGACTTTCTTCACTTGCCTTCCAGGATACCACTTTTTCTCAGGTTTATCCTCAATACCCCAGCCCTTCCATTCAGCTTCCTTTTCCTCATCTCTAAAAACATTAAAAAGGCTACTCCTAAATTTGCATGGTGATTACATTTGTCTCATAGCAAAGATATAAGAGTATGCTGGTAAATCTCACACTTAAATCTCCAACACAGAGCTTCTTCCTGAACTGAAGCCTTATGTGGTCAATTGCCTAACCTAACATGAGGACATGAGTTTGAGTAAACTCTGGGAGTTGGTGATGGACAGGGAGGCCTGGCATGCTGCAATTCATGGGGTCGCAAAGAGTCGGACACGACTAAGTGAACTGAACTGAACTGAACATCAAGACTGAGTAAACCTTAATCCCTCTTCCCTTCCCTTTCTCATTATATCTCATACACCTCACACACATCCAACTTGTCAATAAATGTTAAAATATACCCAGAGCTTGACCACTTCTCACCACCTTCACTGTCACCTCTTTGGACCCAGATATCACAGCCTCTCCTATGGGTTACTGCAAGGGCTTCCTGACCCGGCTCCTTGTTTCCACACATGCTCCCTTTCCATCCATTTTCAACATGGCAGCCAGCATGACCTTGCTCAAACATAGGTGGATTGCATCTCTCCTCTGATCAGAACCTTTCCACCTCACCTGGAAAGAAGCCCAAGTCCTTCCAATGCCCTGCATGGTAACGGGCTCCCAGTGAAGGCTCTGACCTCATCTCTCCCTTGTTCTCAGGATCCTATCCTGCTCTGCCCCCTTGTTTATCCCTCTCTGTGTCTTTACATTTGCTCTTCTCTCTCCCGGAGACAGTCTTCCACCAGATACCTGCATGTCCTTTTCCTCGGTCCTTCACATCTTTATTGAAATGGCAGGCTTTCACCGGCCACACTATCTAAACTGAAATCCACTCCCACACCTCGTACACTCCCTTCATTTTTCTTCATCGCATTTGTCACCCCTCAATGCTATGTCTTTTTGTATTTGTCTTATTTATTGCCCATCTCCCTGTAAAACTCCCTAGGAAAATTTTGCTAGATTGCAAGCTCAGAGAAGACAATGATTTTTCTCAGTTTTGCTGTTTGCTGTACTCTATAGCCTAGAAAAGTGAGTTAGACATAATAGGCACCCAACATATATTTGTTAAAATGAGTGAAATGAAGCAAAAAAAAAAAAAAATGATACCTAGTATAGCAATGAAAGGTAGCTAGATTTTTCATGTGCTTTTAGAACACTAAAATTATTTATTAGCGAATGAGTATAAATGACGAATATAAACCCATATGACGCGCAATGCATTCTCACCATTATTATTGTTGTCTCTGTTTTGTTATTATGCGGCAGACATTCCTTATTTTCTAGTCAACACCAGGGGAAATTGCTTCTGTTCTAGAAATGGAGATCATGTGTCTTCTCTTTCCTTTTCATGCTCATTTTTGCAAGGGAAAAGTCTGCTGATTTGGTTTCTGAAGGAGTGGAAGTTTGAACTAAGGTGGATGTGGATGGAGAGATGGGCAGGGTTAGCAGTGTGGCCCCAGACATGCCCTTGCCTAATTTCTTCTAATAGGCAACTTTGATTTGTCTGG